CTGATGTGACATTTATTATGGTATTGAACGCAGCATCAGATAGTTCACCTCAGATCTTGGAAATAAAGTAAACACCCCTACTGAAAAAAACAGCTTAAACCAGCCTAGGCTGGTTTAAGCTGGATTTTTCAGCAGGAACAGGTTTCCCAGTAAACGGTGACTTAACAACTATCAGGATTTCATGCAGGCTTCATGACTATTAGTGTGTATGGATGTTTCCCAGTGATGGGTTGCGGCTGAAAGGGCATCCGCTGCTTAAAAACATGTGCTGGATAAGTTGGTGGTTCATTCCGCTGTGGTGACCCCTGATTAATAAAGGGACTAAGCCGAAAATACAGAAAAATGCTAATTTATCAGCCTGATCTCGCAAGGAAACGCAAGTATTTGACGTATTGTCAGTTTAGTTGCTAGTTTAGCTAATTCGTACGAGTTTAGTCAGCTTTAAAAAGGAGGCGTGGCAGCCAACCCCGCCCCTAACCCCAACCGTCATTGGGTGATAAGCAAATTGCACTAAATTGTACGTATTAGATCGTACGAATTCATACGAATTAGCCACGAAATCAAAAAGTTACGAATTGCCTTGAGGTTGCGTTGGATTGACCCATATTTACAGTGTTTACACATACAGGCGTGGACATAATGGCCGGTATTCTTCCATTAAACAAAGAAACACTAAAGTGGCCACTAGTATAACTTGAAACTGAGCCATTAATCATCAACAAAAATATTCGAATATTGCTTTCGAATTGTGGCTGAACAGAAGCATTCCACTAATGAAACTGGCCAGGACAAAATTAAAAGGGACCACATCTGTACACGCACACGCTCACCTGAAAGCCAAAACAGCAAATGTAAGAGCTTGTTCATTGGATCTGCCAGCGTATATAGAGCCTGAAATAGTAGAAAGAACATCGCTGATCACAAACACATTCAGAAACAGGTGAGCTTTAAGCACAAATACTGAAAAAAATTATCTGAACATGAGTAAATCGCAAAATTACCTTAACAGCAGATGTCGTGAATATCACTAAGTACCCTACTTTAAACATCGACACCAAGCCTTTAGCTATATTCCCCTTTGCTCTCTCTATTTGTAATCTCTACCTACACACATTTTTAAGTATCACCCTTCATGCAAAGCATCTTGGATGCAAAATGTCTTAAGGAGAAATGGGTTGATTTCCATTTGCCCTTTGTCTGCGATTTAATGCTCTTCATTCAAATAGATGGATCCCAGATGGAAATAATCAGCCATCAGGACATACGCATCTCCACAATAGCTCTTAAAAAGAGGGTATAACTAACACAACCTCAGTTCCCAAGACAAGAAAAGCTTGGAGCGTTTTGTAAAATCCGTTAGAATCAAGGATATGTGATTTGGTATTTCTATATAACTTGTATTTAGGGGGTGACACTGTCGCCAGCAAGAAGGTCGCTGGTTCGAGTCCCACCTGGGCCAGTTGGCGTTTCTGTCATGGAAGCCGGGTGGTGAGGGTAGTGTCGCGGACGACGCCCTTATGGAAGGCCGAATGGTTCAAACTGTGCCTATTACCAAAAGCGTGTCATTCCAAAAACGATGTTTAAGACGAAAAGACGGTGAAAATCACGCCGTTTTGTAAAGTCTGACCCATTTGGCCTTCCATACGACCTCTCTATTCTGCCGCCCTAGACGCGGATATAACTGAGGGTGCGGGTGGTGAGGGTATAGTGTCGCGGACGCCGCCCTCTCTATTTTGCTGCCCTAGACGCGGATATAGCTGAGGGTGCAGGTCGTGAAGGTAGTGTTGTGGACGCCCTCTCTATTCTGCCACCCTAGACGCGGATATAACTAAGGGTGGGGGTGGTGAGGGTAGTGTCGCGGACACCGCCTTAGACACAGATATAACTGAGGGCACGAGAGGTGAGGGTAGTGTCGGGGACACTGCCCTCTCTATTCTGCCGCCCTAGACGTGAATATAAGTAATGGCACGGGTGGTGAGGGTAGTGTCGCTGACGCCGCCCTCTCTATTCTGCCGCCCTAGTTGTGGATACAACTAAGGGCGCGGGTGGCGAGGGTAGTGTCGGGGACGCCGCTCTCTATTCCACCGCACTAGACGCAGATATAACTGAGGGCATGGGTGGTGAGGGTAGTGTCGCGGACACCGCCCTCTCTATTCTGCCACCCTAGATGTGAATATAACTAATGGCACGGGTGGTGAGGGTACTGTCGCTGAGCAATAAATAAATAAAGTAATAAATAAATAAATAAATAAAGCAATAAATAACTAAAGCAATAAATAAATGAAGCAATAATTAAATAAATATACCAATAAATAAACAAGTAAATAAAGCAATAAATAAATAAAGCAATATATAAATCAATAAAGCAATAAATAAATAAATAGACAAAGCAATAAATAATAAATAAAGTAATAAATAAAAAATAAATAAAGCTATAAATAAAGCAATAAATAAAAAATAAATAAAGCTATAAATAAATAAATAAACCATAAATAAATAAATAAAAAGCAATAAATAATCAAATAAAGCAATGAATAAATAAAGCAATAAAAAAGCAATAAATAAATAAATAAAGCAATAAATAAATAAAGCTATAAATAAATAAAGCTATAAATAAATAAAGCAATAAATAAATATATAAAGCTATAAATAAATAAAGCAATAAATAAGTAAATAAATAAAGCAATAAATAAATAAAGCTATAAATAAATAAAGCAATAAATAAATAAAGCTATACATAAATAAAGAAATAAATAAGTAAATAAATAAAGCAATAAATAAATAAAGCAATAAATAAAAAATAAATAAAGCTATAAATAAATAAATAAAGCTATAAATAAATAAATAAACCATAAATAAATAAAGCAATAAATAATAAAATAAATCAATGAATAAATAAAGCAACAAAAAGCAATAAATAAATAAATAAAGCAATAAATAAATAAAGCAATAAATAAATAAAGCTATAAATAAATAAAGCAATAAATAAATAAAGCTATACATAAATAAAGCTATACATAAATATAGCAATAAATAAGTAAATAAATAAAGCAATAAATAAATAAATAAATAAAGCAATAAATAAATAAATAAAGCAATAAATAAATAAAGTAATAAATAAAAAATAAATAAAGCTATAAATAAATAAATAAAGCTATAAATAAATAAATAAATAAACCATAAATAAATAAATAAAGCAATAAATAATAAAATAAAGCAATGAATAAATAAAGCAATAAAAAAACAATAAATAAATAAATAAAGCAATAAATAAATAAAGCTATAAATAAATAAAGCAATAAATAAATAAAGCTATAAATAAATAAAGTAATAAATAAATAAAGCTATACATAAATAAAGCAATAAATAAGTAAATAAATAAAGCAATAAATAAATAAAGCAATAAATAAATTAATAAAGCAATATATAAATTAATTAAGCAATAAATAAATAAAGCTTTAAATTAATAATGCAATAAATAAATAAAAAAAGCAATAAATAAATTAATTAAGCAATAAATAAATAAATAAAGCAATAAATAAATAAATAAAGCAATAAATAAATTAATAAAGCAATAAATAAATAAATAAAGCAATAAATAAAGCATCAAATAAATAAATAAATAAATAAAGCAGTTGGACAGCGTACAATAATTGAGTTACATTGTTACCACATTTCTGAAAGACGTCTCTCATGCTAAATTTCTTTGATCGAAAATATGTTAATATATTGTAATAACAGGCAGAGTGTAAAAATTCATATGAGCCATTTCTCTTTTACTATAAATGTTAAAAAATTAAGTAACAGCAGATCATTTATCAGCGGGTTTGCTTCTTATTTGCATAGCAAATGAGTCGACAACAACAAAAACAAAGCAGGAATGAAACCTTTCAAGTACAGTAGTATACTAATATGAGCAGAATACCATATAATGCAGTAGACTAAGTAGACACAATACACAGATTTATAAACACACACACAGTTATCCTTTAGTGTAATTCATGCAAGTTAATCCAATGATCTTTTTTTGTTGCACAAAAAAAATATATATATAGGATCACCCATATAGTCCATGGAGAGCAACGTGTTGTTCTGGAGTTTTCTTGCAAAACTTGGCAAACATCCCTTAAGCAAGCAATTATGACAAAGAACATTAAAAAAAGATAAATACATTACTTTTGAAACGCTGTAAATTATCGTATTACCTTTAAAATAATTGTTGTTTTTGAATTAAAACTGTTTGATTTCTACATTTTTGTTGGCCCACCCGAAATGTCCCAGAGCCCACCCTAAAGTTCCAAGCTGGAGCCGAGCCTGATGTCTCATAAAAAAACATGTATGAACAATGAAGCTGAATAAATAAACTTACCATTGGGGTGTGGTTTGTTAATAGGATATTAGTTTCAGTTCTAATCAGACAAACTTTTATAACACTTTGAATCTATGATTTTACTACAAAGTTTGACGATGGTTACTTCAATACAATCCTAAGGTTGGTTTTCGCAAGGGGGTTAACTTTAGAGACGATCCCTAACTTGCAGCAGCAGTTTTAACATGGACAAAACCGAAAGTTCACTGTCAGAGCAAATTACCGACGCTCTGCTTTCATAAAGCTTAGACGAAGTTCAGTCAGCTTGTGTTGATTATTCAACTTCAGTATGTGAATGCCGTGAAAATGTCAGCTGAAGATGTGTTTGTTTGGTAAGTATTGTGGCAAAATAAAGTTCGAATATTTACATGTTAGCTTATTCTATTTAAGAACAGTACTTTCTTACAGCACACTGCGAGTGTTTTAGTTGCGTTTGTTTACTCCTGTGGACTTTTGAACCCGGAAGAGTTTTTAAATGAAGCTACATGAGGTGTTCCTAGTGTTTTGCGTTATATCAGATTAATTGAGCAGTCGCTTTTCTTCAATTCGAAGCATAAATGCACTACAATGTAGCCTATATAAATTATTTAAACTCTTTAAAGGTTAGCTTTGCATGTATCTTTAGCTTCATGACTGTCACTGCGGTTTGAAACGGCGTGTATGATCAGTGCAGCTGCTGTTTAACTAGTATGGCTCGTTTCTCACAAGCTCATGTGACACACTATTACATCCAAAAGACTGAATAAATAAGCCTAAAGGGACATGCTATCCATTTTGTTATTATTAGTGCTCTTGCAAAAATCAACCATAGATTTTACTGTAGTTACCATGGTCAAACCAAATAGGTGTTGTAAAACCACAAAGTGAACTATAGTTCTACTGGGGTTTTGTAGTAAAACTAAAGTACCTACAAAACAAACCATAACTTTACTAGAGCATTTGAAGTAATTTCCTTGTCAAAAAAAATCCCATTGAAATGTCAGCTGAATTCCTGGAAACCAACCGGGGTAAAGTTGGTTTTATATTCACACATTCAAACTTCCGAGATGAACTACTTCATTAGTCAGCCTTTACATGGGCTCGTTTTGGTAATGTACCATTGTCGAGTACTATAAGCACAAACTTAAACACATTTTACGGTACAACTCGGCATTCAAACAGAGTTTATAAACGCGTTTACTTGCATGGAAGGTCGTGATGTCATGCCTTATCTGAGGAACCATCTCCAAATTATCTGTCTCAACCACGGCAGCATAGGGACTGTTCGCTTCCGGGTTTTTGGAGTCGACTCTGGAATCGACTCCTAATTTTGGAGTCGGTGGAATCGACTCCGGAATCGATTCCATTTACATTCCTTAAAATAGCGTATGGATTAAACATGCTTTAACCGCTTTAAACAATGCTACTGCGTCAATTTCAGCTTTAGCCACATTGAGTGGTTATCTTTTTGGTCAGACAAACCAGAAGTTTCAATCATCTGCAGCCACCATAAACTAATTATCAGCCTACATTTGTTAACAGCATAATTATCAGACTATTTTAATTATTTAACATTATTTTATATAATTGTCATATTTTAAAAGTTAAAACATTCGTTTATTATCATATTGTTTAATAAAATAATGTACAGCAGTTCATTAACAAAGAAAAAAATTTAGCCCACAAACAAGGTTAATAAAACAAATCATAAATAATCTAATGTTTTATGGGCTACTTGAATACTAGATCTACAGAGTTAACGAAATAATCCAGAGTAGCCTAGGCCTAGCGGACGGGCACGCAAGGCATGACCCAAATCTGCAGCTGTCCATGTCTTTATTTTTTAACGGCAAGACACTCCAACCGATCAATAAACAAAACTGCTCGATTTTCAAATTAGGCCCTCACGGAGAAAGTCAATTGTACTTTGTTTGATTTAAATTATAGCCTATGCACCAATAAACAAGTTAAAGAAATGCATAAATGAATAAATACAATAAATATGGGTTCCTAAATATCGATATTGTTTTTAATAAAAAAAAACAATAACAACATTCAACATTTATACAATGAATAAGTTGGACATTTAGGGGGCCATTTAACATGTTTCTGTGTTTTAGTTTTCTTTAATATACGTAAAATATTTTCTAAAATGTCAAGCAGGAATTGATATGCTTTAAATATGCTTTATATCATGATATGCTTGTTTCATTCGTTTTCATTTCACTTGATGCATTAATGTTTGAATACTGAAATAAATAACAGACATTGTTAAATTGTTATTTTACCAACAAAATGTGTATTATATCATTATCAACTTTTGATATAAAACCGCTGTGTAATTTGATTGTTTAAAATTAAATAACTGCTATATTTTTTATTAGTGATAGTGCCCGCTCACTTTTCACAAGGCCTGTCAAAAAATATATTTCTGCAACTTATACAAATGCACTATTATTATTGCATTATCAACGTTTAATTTTCTGTTATGTATGGACATTTTAAATATATTTAGGCTATTTCCCTCCAATCATTACGTTACATTTTGGTAATTTTCCCTCCAAATAAAATAAATTTGCTGTCTGGCCCGGTTTGGCACGGAATGTAACGGTTCAGCATAAGTGAAAAAAGCGGCTTTAAAGAGGTAAATATACGAAATTCCTTTCAAAAATATATTTTTTCCAAGAAAATATACAAATTATATTTTAGTTTGAGCCCAATTGTGCGGGTGGATGATTTTCGGTCAGTGGAAAGTAAGGATTTAATTAATGCCTCACTATTGTATCACAATCTTCTGTCATATAGGCCTATTTGCAATTTTTTTTAATGTCAAAATTAAAACATTACGTCTTGCGTCTGATTTTTCCTTCACTTCCACATTTTTCCACTGATGTGCTTTTACATTTAGATTTAAACGAAATGTAAAAATTAAAAAGAAAACGAATTATTTCGTAAGGATGCCCTTACATAATGAAGCCTTTGACAGTAAGCATCAGTTTTCTTGACATGATTGGATGAAGGGGGCGATGCGGTACTGGATTTGTGCGTACCTTGTAATAAAATCCTCCAGGCTCCCCTAATTATTATTATTATTATTATTATTATTATTATTATTATTATTATTATTATTATAGAATTTTATTCCAAATAAATAAGAAGAATCAATCATACATGTTACTGAAAAACCATGTAAAGACACAACTGGAGTAAAATAGGACTTTTGCATGAATTATGACAGTTTTATAGCTTTCTGCTTCATAGCCATGTTTAGTCAAAGTATCATCATCATCATATGAGAAACTTTAGTTTTGTCGACTTGCATGTCGGTGCATATAAGCGTGTAAAACAATCAGGGCTGCGTTTCCCGATAACGATTGATCTTAGCACTTAAGAGCGTTTTCTACGAGTCATTTTGCGAACGTTCGTTATTGTTTCACGTGCGTTTCCCAAAAATGCACTTAACACAATTGCACGTAGCCCAGCTTTAAGTGCAACTTAGGAGTCGCTATCCGTTTGTTAAGTGCTGAAATGTCACGCTATAGAATGGCTCGTTATTGTTGCACATATAGCAATCCATATAATTGTTCTTCTACTTGTGTGAATGTATATTCAACTCGAATAACATAAAAAAAAATATTTTTGAGCCAGTTTAAAAACATAAATTAACTGGAAATGTCGTACTGTAAAAACACTGTCTTGCTCCAATCTCGCATAAAACTAATTCTAACAGTCCTTGCCGGAAATGACATCAGCATCATTTTCGATATTTATATGAAACCTTAATTAAGTAGAATTATTTATCAATTTCTTTATCAAAAATTGCTTATCTCACATCAAAATAAATAAATAAGTAAATAAATAAATAAGCTCTTACATTTATTTTTGAAAAGTTTAGCCTAATTATCCCCACCTGATGTGCATTTGCTAATAGGACAAAAATATAAATGAATAGAGATATACGTACAAATAAAATGAATAATGACTTTGAAGAGAAGTAAATTGTAGGTGCAATTTGCCGGTTGTCCAGCAGGTGCCCTCATAACTCTGTCTCCTTACGATGCACTTAAGGCTTTACGATTACTCCAGAGCACTCGTAGATCCACTAAGATTTTCAAGTGCTACTTAAGTTACGATGCTTTTGGGAAACAGACCGTAATATTAAGATCAGTCGTACGATCATTTCTACGAACTTCTTAGGCTTACGATGCTTTTGGGAAACGCAGCCCAGGATGAGGAGCAGTGCGTTTGAGGCGCACGGGAATAGCTTTCTGCGCACAAGCATCAGTTTGTTTTTACCAGTGTTGTTTCGGTTGCACATAGAGAATAACAAACTTGCGCGTGCAAGTCCTAACGTCTTTATTCTGGGATAACCACTCTAAATTAATACACTTGCCTAAAGTAAATCTTATCTCAAACCGTTTACTGGGACACTTTATTTATTTTTTTTTATTTTTTTTTAAATGTGTCATTTGGAAACTTACACAAAGTAAACAAAATGTTTTGCATTTAGGATGCTGCATAGAAAGACTTTTCACACAGAAATATCTTTAAAAGAAATGGCCCAAAAGAAGGAAGTGCTCAACGTCAGTCTCATTGGACCAGTAGACCACAGAAGGTAACACAATATATTACACCGTATATTCCAACTGCAACCGGAGCACCCCGAGCGAGGAAACCCACAAACACTGGGAGCACTTGCAAACTCTACACAGAAACACCAGCTGACCCAGTCGGGACTCGAACCAGTGACCTTTTTGCTATGATCTGACAGTCTAACCAATGAGCCACTGTGTTACCCATGGACAAAACTTTTTACGTCATAAGAGAGGCCGACAGATATGGACATGCTACAGGTTCTGGAATGGCTGTTTGCTGTGTTTTGTCTAATCATTTTGCAATGTTTTGTGTGCCATGAAGCACTTTTTTCAATGACTTTCATTGAAAATTATGTATAAAAATGGATGTTGCCCTGACCACACACATGTAACCGTCAACTTGTTGAAATTGTAGTGTTATTTAATATATGTTTGTGTATTGTTTCTATCTGCATTGTGATATATTTTTCTTCTTTTTAGAGATGTTTGAAAGTCGGGTTTTGTATTTGTTCATTTAGTAAACAAGCTTAAGAAAGTTTAATAAAAAGTGAAATCCTTAGAATTAGATTGTTGAATGCCATTAAGCTGTTAATTATGTTTACTAATTAAATGATAAAATGTAAAATGTTTAGAGATAGATCTAATACAAACTATGCAGAGGTGCAATTTAACATATTATTTAACATTTAAACAATTTGAATTTTCTGGATTGGTTTTATTTTTATTCAATAATTAATAACATTAATTCAATAATAAAT